TTTTTGGCAGTCCATGGTTGACAGAACCATGGTTGCTTTGGATGTCAGAAACTGTAATCCTAATTTAACCAAGCATACTGTGTAATCCTCCCAGAAAAGAGCCTTTTGACATGTTTTGAGCACTTCCTACAGATCTTGGCTATAGTCCCCCCACCTTTGAATGTGGGTGCAATAAACAAGGAAATCCCCTTTCACAAACAGTTGTTTCTGTTTGGATTTTACCTTCTAAGGCCTTTCAAGGAGCAAAATAGTTCTACAGACCTATTTTCTAGCAGGAGTGTGATATACATCATGTAAACGATGCCATTTGGATGAAATGAAACTGCTTAAAAACTCCCTTGGAACTAAGTGGGAAGGGAGGCAGGAAGAATCTATAATGTCTTTGTGGACAGATAACACAGGCTGCAATTTAGTCTTCTAAGGTAAAATATGAGAGGCTGTGTGATGGATTTGGTGCATTTCTAGCTACTAAAAGGGCCAAACTGCTACTTTCTTCAGGCTATTCATATATATAACTAACACAGCAATGATCCTTCTGGTGAATTTTATATTCCCTATGAAATCCTTTACTGAGCTTTAAAGCAGCGCAAGAGTTAGAAGGTTAAGAAAGTTCTCCTATACAGGGGGAAAATCTCTGACCCACAACTATGTTTTAAAACAAAAAAGGCATCTTTGCCAACTGTATGACAAAAACACTACTGGGGAGGGAAAAGTCTAATGTGAATTTGCAAGTGAGGGGAAACACACATTCATGGATAAGATTTCCTTAATAATTAAGAACCCATCATGCATGGTCCTATTATAGTATATTGAGGGACTGTTAGCATGGAATCCATATGCTCCACAGTAATCTCTTTTTCATCCTGGGGTTCCACCCAACAGGTAGATGCAACAAATGCTGGCTCCTACAGCATATGAATACACAATACACAGAACACATAGAGTTGGCAAGGAGACCAAGAGTAATCTAGTCCAATTACCAACTCACAACCCACAAATTTTGCCAAGAAAACCACATGATAGGTTTGTCTTTGGGTCGCCATACATCCAAAATGACTTGAAGGCACACAACACACACAGTGTTTTGTTTATAATGTAGGAGGTGAGTATGACAAGGTTGTGAGTGCAGGAAATCCACAGACATGTCCTTGACATGGTCACTCATCTTCGCACCTCTGTATAAAAATCAGCAATAAAGGAGAGCCTGCCACTTTCTGAGGAAGCCCATTTCATTGTTCAGAAATTCTATACATCAGAAAGTTACTCCTAAAGTTTATCAGAAATCTCCTTTCTGGCAATGTGGATCCATGGGTTTTGGGGCCTGACCTCTGGAACAGCAGCAAACAAGCTTGCTCTGTTTTCTCCATGACCACCTTTCAAGTATCTGAAGATTGCTTGCTATCATATGATCCTTCAATCTTGTCTACTTTAAGATAAACACACCCAATTCCATCAACCATTACTCATAAAAGCTTTATTTCTAGATCATTACCACCTTGATTGCTCTCTTCTGAACATGTTCCTACTTGTCAGTATTCTGTCTAAACTGTGTTTCCAGTACTGGATACAGACCTCCATGTGAGGAGTGACCAAAGCAGAGCAGAGTGGTACTACTGCTTCCATTGATTTGGATTTAATACTTGAGTTCTCTATTTGTTGCTGCTTCACATTGCTTCTATTTAGCATGTGGTCTAGTATGACCCCCAGATATTTTCCATAAACACATAATACTCACAATCAAGGTATCATCCATCCTATAGTTGTGTGTTCAATTTTTCCTGCCTAAGGGGGGAAGCAGACGAGGGCGTCCAGGACGCCCTGGGCTGGCGCGCCGCGGGGCCGCAGCCTCCGCACCTCGGCGCACCGGCAGCGACCCTGGAAGGAGCGCTAAATCAGCGCTCCTTCCTCAAGACAGCGAAAGTGCGCACTAAAAGCGGCGGGCGCACTTTCGCTGTCTTTTCCGCCGCGGCGCATGTGGTCGCCGCGGCGTGAGGTCATCCCCGGAGCGCCGGCCGTGCGGAGGGCCGGCGACTCCGAGGGCGACCTCAGGGAGAGGAAGGGGCGCCGAACGTGCGGCTGCCCCTCCTCTTCTGGGCCCGGAAGACGACTCAATTAGTCGTCTGCCGAGGCCCTAAATGTCATACTCACCTCCTACATTATAAACAAACCACTGTGTGTGTTGTGTGCCTTCAAGTCATTTCGGATGTATGGCGACCCAAAGACAAACCTATCATGTGGTTTTCTTGGCAAGATTTGCTCAGAGGAGGTTCTGTTAATGAAAAGGTGAACCTGTAGATGTTTCATGGAGTAAAGAGGTCCTTAGAAGCTGAGCTATAAGCTAGCAAGTCCCAGGATCAAACACCTCATTTCAGAGGAATTCACTTATTGGCATCAAGCAAACTATTATTTGTCGACTTTAGCAGTTTTCCCCAAAGATGCTCAGGACCTATTTATCAAGATTGCCGCAAAGATTACTGATGTAATGTATGCAAAGTAAGGATGCAATTCTTCACAAACTTCATTCTCAAATGAAACAACGAATAATTTTAATAATTTCCTTCCTGTTGAAAGAAAGGGTGTATCTACACTGTAGAAATAATGCACTTTGACACCACTTTTAAGTCTGTAGCTCCATCCTATAGAATCAAAGGATTTGTAGTTTTATAAGGTCTTTAGCATTCTCTGCCAAAAAGAAGGGAGCTTCACAAAACTACAAATCCTTGCATTCTGTAGGATGGAGCCATGGCAGTTAAGTGATGTCAAACTGCATTATTTCTACAGTACAGATGAACCCAAAGTCTTCATTTTCAATGAATAGTTTATTAGTGCAGAAGGCATTTTGTGCAGAAAGCAGTATTTTCTGTGCAGGAAATAGAATCTCATGTACAGAAAATGTTGTACTTGGATACTTATCATGCATAAGATTTGAAGCTGTGGGGGCACAGTGGTTAAGAAGTCCTGGTGGTGCAGTGGTTAAATGCCTGTACTGCAGCCACTCACTCATAAACCACAAGGTTGTGAGTTCAATACCTGCTAGGGGCTCAGGCTTGACTCAGGCTTGAATCCTTTTGAGGTCACTAAAATGACTATCCAGCTTGTTGGGGGCAAGAAGCTTCCACATTGTAAACCACTTAGGGAGTGCTAAAGTGCATTGATAAGCGGTATAGAAAGGTACTTGCTATTGCCTGCTAAGATTTGCACATTGCCTCTCATTCCAAAAACAGCATTATCTGCCTGGGAAACCACAAAAGAAAATGCAATAGTGCAAGCAATTTCCCCTTTCCTCAGTATGCATCAGTTCCCATTTGTTTACAATATATTTTCATTCACCATTTTAAAATCAATTCCCTCTCAGTTTGGAAGATCTTTTAGGAGCTGTTTAATTGTGCAGTGTCATCATCAGATGCAGCCACCTCATTGTTGTTAACTGCCTTTAAGTTGGCTTTGATTAATGATGACCGCAGGAATTAGGCACCTCCAAGCCCCTTTGTTCTCAACTGCTCTGGTCAAGTTCCACAGGCTCAGCACTGTGGTCTCCTTGACTGAGTCTATCCATCTGGAATGTGGTCTTCCTCTCTATCTACTGCCCTCTACCTTTCCCAGCATTATTGTATTTTCTAGTGAGTCATGCCTTCTCGTAATGTGTCCAAAGTATGACAGCCTCAATTTAATCATCTAAATTACTCAGCCACCTCATTACCCAGCCCTAATCTAGGGCACTACTACCAAAAGTCAAGATCCTTGAACCACTGGCTGCCAGTCCCTGACAAGTTTCTACAAAACAAGCAAACTGTTGTATGGAAATAGAAATAGTAAAAGAGTTCTCATATCTGAGATCAAACCTTGATTGGAATGGGGACTGCAGCCAGGAAATCAGAAGATTAAGAATGGGGAGGGTGGCTAGGAAAGAACTAGAAGAGATCCTAAAATGCAAAGACATACAACTCCGCACAAAAGCCAGAATCATACAAGCCACTATATTCCCTATTATTATGTATGGATGTGAGTGCTGGACAGTCAAGAAAGAAGATAGGAGAAAAATCAACCCAGGGGCTCTACAAACAGCCCCTAAGGGACAGCTCTGTGCTACCCCTGGGAGCACTGAATTGGGGCTGCAGCAACTGGATGCCACGGCCCCGATCCGGGACTTTGCCGCTCCAAAAAGAGCTGGCAAATGCCGCTCCTTTTTGGAGCAGCAAAAAGCTTCCCTTATCGCAGTGGCGGCAGCTTTTCTGCATTCCTTTGGCACAGCGTGTCTAAATGCTATGCCAAGGGAGTTCCATGATGCTGCCCGCCATCTGTTTGGGCGGCTGCCATGAGGGCGACGTGGGGGCAGAGTTGGGACGGCCGGTGTGCAGTCGTCATGCCCCAACTCCATCTCCAGGCTGGCCCTTTTGGATGGTCTGTACATGCTCTCATTTGAGATGTGGTGCTGGAGAAGAATGCTGAGGATCCCATGGACACCCAAAAGGACAAACAAGTGGGTCCTAGAGCAGATCAAGCCAGACATATCCCTAGATGACAAGACTTAGACTGTCATACTTTGGACACATCATGAGAAGGCATGAATCGTTGGAAAAGACAATAATGTTAGGAAAGGTGGAGGGAAGTAGAAAGAGAGGAAGGCCATATGCTAGATGGATGGACTTCATTAAAGAGACCACGAATATGGGTTTGCAGGAGCTGGGCAGAGCAGTAGAGGACGGGGGAGGGGGGGGGGCTGGAGATGTCTCATCCATAGGGTCACCATGGGTTGAGATCAACACAAAGGCAGTTAACAACAACCACAAAATGGAATAAGAACAAACTTAGTATTGGCATGTTGGGGGAAAAAAATAATTAAATAGCCTAAGAATTATGGATCTAAGGTACAGCGCTGGGGCTAACATGTAAGACGTCACAATTGTTCTTTTGGATCTTAAACCCTCCTGATTCTCTGAACACAGAAAACAAGAAAAAATTGGAAGGTGACTTCCCCAAGGTCACCCAGTGAGTTTCTGTGGCTAAGAAGGGATTTGAACCCTGATATCCAGAGTCCAGGTCTAATATTTGAACCACTATATTACTCTGGCTCTTTGTTTTGTAGATAAGCATACACTATAGTTCAAGGGAATGCACCAAGATCTCTTGAAGAGAATTCTATCTAATTCATCAAACTACAAATCCCAAGATTCCTTAGGAATCAGCTATGTCAATTAATGTTTTATTTGTCCAGACCTCATGTTTGAAGTGAGATGAAAAGCATTTTTCATAGTTTCAGTGAACAGAGGAAGGGAGGGAGAAAAGAAAGACCACAATTTGTATTTTTTTTTCCATTTTACCTGGGAAGTTAACCAAGTAATACTACTTTTACTTTTAACTTGGCTGAAGCATCACAATAACATAAGCACATTTCTTTGACTTTCTTTCCTTGTTATTACAAAGCAGGTTTGAAAGCAGTGACCTGGAGGCAAAAAAAGATCTCTGACTAATGCAGTTCATAGCTACCTTACCATCATGGGCTTCTGCAAGTTCCTGCCATTAGCATGAATTTATAGTCAAGAAAGACCAGATTAGTTGTTGCTGCTTCTGCCTGCACCCCCCACAGTATGATATCTGTGTATGTGATAGAAAGACAGATATAATGCAAAAGCAGATCTGAGAATACATTCCAAGCATTCCCCTCTGCCTATGGAAGGCAAATGAAATACCCTGCAGCCTAGTTGCCTCTGAGGATGATCAGATGAACCCCATCATAATCTCAGAGTTCAAAGAGACCACAAGGGCCATCCAGTCCAATCTCTTGAAATGCAGGAATACACAATCATTCCTGACAGATGGTCATCCAGCCTCTGTTCAAAAACCTCCAAAGAAGAAGACTCCACCATCCTGTGAGACAGCATATTCCACTTTTGAACTGCTCTTGCCATCAGGAAATTCTTCCTAATGTTCAGGTGGAATCTCTTTTCCCGTAGCTTGGCTCCATTGCTCCATGTTCTAGTTTCTGGGGAACCAGAAAACAAGCTTGCTCCACTCTCAATATGACACCTCTTCAAAAATATTTATACATAGCCATCATATCACCCCTTAACAGTGGTATCATTAGGGGTGTTGAGGGCATGTGTGCAGACCACACCAGGTGACACCGTAAGAGGGGGAGTGACATCATTTCTCCTCAAACACCTACTTTTTGGCAGAAACAGGCAGTGGCATTCATCTGCTTCCTTTTAAAATACTTTAAGAGATGGTGGGCATGGGATGAAGCTCAGTGAGAAAGGAGAAGCCCCAGAATTTTTAAAATAAAAATTTTAATTAAAAAAATAAATAAAATTGTTTTAAAATTTTCTTTAAAAACATATTTTAACCAAATCTTCACTACGTATATATAAATACATTTAGGCTGTGCATATGATATTTTAATTTGAAGGTATAATTTTAATTTTGCTAATTGTTTATATCACAACTATTAGCATTACATTCAGTGACATATGGGAATTATAATTTATGAGTAACCTTAGTGCAAAAAAGAGTCAATGTGTGTGTGTGTGTGATACCATGAGTTACCACACCGGGTGACACCAACCCTAGGGATGCCACTGCCCCTTAACCTTATCTTCCCCAAGATAAACATATCTAGCTTCCTAACCTGCTCCTTATAGGTCATTGCTTCCAGACCTATGCATATTGATGGCATAGGGATTCTGGGAGTTGTAATTTTTTTTAAAAAGCAATTTTCCCAAGGTCTGGTTTCTCTCCACAAACCATCCCAGACTGGTAGTGACCTCCAGTGAGGGATAGAAATGTTCTCAGCATCCAGCACTGTCTGCAAGGGCCAAGTTTTACAAGGCTCTAAGTTGGTGGTGTGGGACAACCCCCTTAAGTTGGTGTTTTTATTTGATTTATTTTTTAATTCTCAATTTCAGGTGTTGGGAAAGTGATAGCTTTCCCCATGGCATTGCCTGAGCTATTGCTTAAGCCCTATCACAACACCTCTGCCATAGTAAGGTCTCAAGTGGAATCCGACAAGAAAAGATGTATAAGCTATTTCTGTATCCAGAGTTTGTACATTCTCTCTTTCATTTCCTTCTGGGACATATGCTGCCATTGCTTGTACAGTCCTTCAATCTAATTTTCTAAGACTTTCTTGGCTTCTCTTCTAAATACCTTTTACCTTGGGAGGACTTGTGAAATGCTATTTAGAGAAGACAGAAATCTTTGACACACTTGGATTACAAACTTTGCTTTAGGGAGGCTATCTGCCTTGGATACAGACTCTGGAGTACTGCTACTGTGAGAAAAGGACATAGCAGGGATCAGAGCCTCGGATGCTTTGTACATGTATGATGCACCTAAGGATACTGGGAGACACAAGGAATTATGGGCTGGAATTCTCTTGGTGACTTATGCTGGTGTAACCAATTATGGGCTGGCGTATGCCAGTGTAAGCAAAAGTTTCACTGGCATACACTAGCAAATTGAGCCTAAACTCTTCCTAGAAGCCAATATGACTGACCCGAGACTATAGTACTTTGGACATATTGTGAGAAGACACAATGTAATGAAAAATAAAATAATGCTTGATAAAGTGGAAGGCAGTAGGACAAGAGGAAGACTGCATTACAAGTGGATAGGCTCCATTAAGGATGACATAGGGCCTCTGCAGAAGGGCCCTTTGTGGCATCCTTGAGGCAGGGATGGGGAGGGACAGCCACATGCTGGCAGCCACAACCCCTCCCCAAGGACATCCTGATGCCTTGCGCCCGGCATCAGAACTTCCTCCCGGCGTAGCGTCTTGATGCTCTTTGGACGTCCGTTTTGCCAGGCCAGCAAAAGGGAGGATCGAGGCTGCGCTGTCTGGCAGCCTCGGCCTCAATCCTCTGCTTCCCAGGGCATCCCAAGGCCACCCATCTGCATCCCCCCCATAGTCTTGAGTTTGCAAGATCCTAGCAGGACTATTGATAATTGGGAGATTTGGAGTGCTCCCATTCACAGGATCACTATAGGTCAAAAGTAACTTGATGGGAATTAACAACCATCACCACTAAGGGTTATGCCAGTGTGGGTACTTTTATGGATGTTGCACAAGAAGGTAGCCAGTGTGTCATTTACATGTGATTTTTGCCCAGCTGTGCATTGGCAAATGGACAGCACTAGATCCAACTCCACTCAGTCCAACCCAGATGGTAAGTGATGGCAGGTATGTGCATTCACCAGAGGAGATCCATCACTTGGCTGGTAGCCATTACATTCCTAGACTTCCATAGGCTCTGTTAAATAGGATATTGGACAGGATGTCCTGAAAATAAATCTTGCTGTTCTGGATCTTGTCGTGAGTAACCTGGTGAGCCCAGGTTTGTGTGTTTGTGTTTGGAGTGAAGCTAGCATCAAGGGAGCTATCTCTCTCCACCAGTTTAGAGCATTGTGAAGCTTAGTCTTTGAAGGCTTTGCTGGTACAGTGTCTAGAACACAAAATAGTTTCCTATATTTAAATGTTCCTGTGACCTCATTCATACCCCTTTTATGCCCAATAGTTTTCTTTGGATTTTAATGCCATTGTTCCTTATTTATAAAGGTGGAATGGGGATTTGATTCTTTGCCAATGCTCAAGCCAACCCTCTGGGAAGAGCAGCTGTTGGTACACCAAGTAGGGAAGCTACATTTCTACAAACCAGTGTTTCACAACACAAAAAGGTGAAAATAGTACATTCTGGAAGGAATCAGTGGAAGAAAAACCATGGCTTAAATTGAATTGCTTTTAGCAGCAGAGTAAAGCCATTGAAACAATAGATTTATGTAAGTGTAGGCTTCCCATTCAGGAAAGAGCCTTGAATGGATCTACTCCAGTTGGGACTAGCAACTGGATTTGGGATGAAAGTGTGAATGTTAACAAATATGTATGGGAAAGCATGTGTATAGTATCAGCCCATGTGTGTGAGAGATTAGCTTGGTCTCTCAGCTGAGTGTATACTTTTTGGCTAAACCAGGATTTGTCTCTTTGTAATGTGTGAAAACATCTTTAGCACAAGCAACTGAAGTGAAGAAGCAGACTGTGGTTCTTGTTGAGGGACAAAAGTCAAAAGAAAATGTTGCGCCATGGGCTCAGACAATCATAAACAGACAGATATTCATAGGGTTTAATGAGCTCTCTTGGCTCCAAATTTTCTTGGCAGTGCTTGTTTTAGCTTTAATATATTTTTCTTTTCCTCCTTGTAGTACAAAGTATGGCTCTGGTTAGCTAAACGCTGATGACTTTTCCATCCAAATAATACTTTTGACAATGAACAAACCAAGCTCATAATCTGCAGCTTGATGGATTAGATCATGGAGAGCCACATATTTGCAGACACGAAAATAAATATACAGTTTTCAAAAAGCTGGAACAGTAAACCCAGTCAAGCTAGAGCTTAAGGAAAGATGACTTTTTTCCATTCATGAGTAATTGTTGTATTTTTAAACCTTCTGAAGAAACTTTGCAACTTTATTGGGACCCTCCTCTTGCAGAGGAGAGCTCTTTAAACCAATTTTGACAGCTCCCAAGCAAATTAATGTTGTGTGTGGTAACTTTTTTTTAGGGTAGGGGATTCTATACCATTTTAAAAAAAACACTCCATGAGACCTGCTGCAAATTGAAGTTGGAAATATCACATCTCACCACATGGAGGAGAATTAAAAAGGTATTGTCAGTTGTATATAAATAGAAAGCCAGGTTGTGGTAAATTTGTCATATCATGAGAGGGGGAAGAGTGGTAAGGAATGGGCTGAGTATTTCACCACATTTTCCCTCTTTCCTCTTAGAAACTGGGAGGAGGTGTCTTGACCATTCAACAGTATTACTGAATTACCATTGCACTAGTTTCCTTCTGTTTCATACATTTCATTGGTTCTTCCCATGGATACTCAAATTCAAAACACTAGAAGCTGGAAAGATTCCTTTTATTTTGGGTTACAACTCCAAGGTTTAAAGAACATCAAGGAATACCATGGTTTGTGGGCTATGTTTTAGGGGAAAGCAATGACAAGCCATCTCTGAATACTTCTTGTCTAAGAATACCTTATGGAATTCATGGGGTCACCATAGGCAACTTGAATGTAT